TCATAACTCACCCTCATTCCCCTTCTCCCTCCTCCCTTGAGCCCCCTCTTCTGTCTGGATTCCTCTCTTTCCCACACCCGTGTCTGTCCTCTGTGACCTTGACTCAACACCTGTCTCTCTCAGTGTCTGCCATGACTGTCCCTCCATCTCCCGCTTTTCTCTCGGCCTTTCTGCCTTTCAGCCACTCGGGTTTTCTCTCTGTCGCCCCTCCTCTCGTTCTGCAGCCACGCTTGCTGCCCAGCCCTTCTCTATCCCTCAGCCCCGCCCAGCCCCTGACTGGCCACTCTGCCCCTGTCCCCACAGTGACCAGATGGGGAACAAAGCCTCCTACATCCACCTCCGGGGCTCCGACCTGCGGCCCCAGTTCCACCAGTTCACAGCAGTGGTGAGTCAGCCCTGGCCCCGCTCTGCCTGGGCAGGAAGTGGCTGAGAGGCCTGGGAGCGGGGAGACGGCCTAACAACTGGGGGGACCGGTGGGTGCCGCCTCTGGTGCTCAGAGACAGCCCTAAAGCTGCCCATCTGTGTCTCTGTCTGTCCCCGTGTGTCTGGTCCACAGCCTCATCCCGACGTCAAGCCCATGGCCTACGCCAGCACGCTGCTGCAGCTGGGGATGATGTGAGGCCGCAGTGGCCGCCCCGGCACCATTGGACCCTTTTACTTTGTAAAGTTTGTATTTATTCCCCTTTAGGTTTGCAGAGGGGGTGGGGGGCCTGCCAGAGAGTCTGCTCCCTGGACAGAGGAGGAGGAGGTGGAGAGAGGCTGGGTTGGGGCGCTGTCTCGGGCATTTGGGAGGGAGGCCAGCTGTGGCGAGGGGCGGGGCCCAAGGCTTCCCCGCCCCCCTCGTTTGCATGGCCCCTCCCCTGCTAAAGCAATAGGGCCCCGCCATAGGAAGACCCTTGAAGGAGGGTCATCAGGGAGGCCTCGCCTGCACCCCCTCCTGGCAGCCCCAGGGAGGGGCTAGGCTGGGGCTCACCCCCTTCCCCAGCTATTTTATGTCTGTAATTAAATATGTTAAAATAAAGTCATTATTGTAAGTCAGCTTGTCTCGATGGTAGAGCCACCAGAGCTGCTAGGATTAGGGTGACCACCTCATAGCGGGGAGGAGGGGCGGGGGAGCCGCAAGAGTCCAGCTCCTCTCTCATTTCCCTGGAGCTGTCCAGCGGGGCTCGGAGCTGACCAGCCCTTGTGTCCACCTGACATGGGCTCTTGAGGGAGAGATGCGCTGCCTGGGATGGAGAACCCCCGTCAGAAACATTGTACACACAGGGAGACGAAGTGAAGGGAGGGCCAGCAAGGCCGGGTTAGCGGAAGCTGGAGGAAACTTGTTCTCTGTGGTTGCCAGCAAGTGCTTACTGAGGCTGCTGGATGCCGCCCTGCCCCGGCCTCTCGCAGCCCCGCCCTCAGCCTCACACAGCCCCGCCCCCGGCCTCGCAGTTCAAGGCAGACTCCCTTCACAGCGGCCCAACTTTGGTTCTGACAGCACACAACCAGGCAGACACCCACCACCCAGGAAGACCCGAGGAATTCCCATCCCTCTTCTCCATCGGAAGTTAATGCTCGGTCCTCTGCAGGCCGCCTGCCTGGCCGGGGCCCCTGCAGAGACTCCTGGTTTCAGGTCTGAGCTCTCCAGGACCCACCTTCCCCTGGGAGACGTGGACCCGAGGATTGTCTCCAGACAGATGACACCGGATGGAGGGTGGAAACTGCTGAGTACTTTGTCGTCCTTGGTTGCCTCCCCAGGGGCAGAAATGAGGGGATCACAGTCCTGATCCTCTGTTGGCGTTTCGGGCGGCTCTGCGGGCAGCTCCTCTCGGTAAAACAGGTCGGCATTGCGGGAATGTGGACGCGGGTTTGTGTCCTGAAGGAGAGGCGTGAGTCCCAGTTGGCCAGTTTCATTCATTTCCCATGAGAAGTGCTGGGAGAGTCCTTCCGACCCGCAGGGGGCGTGCAGCTGTGCAGCAGACGGTGTGGTTGTCACCCGCTGCTTCACCGCCTCGAGCTCAGCCTTCTGCAGTGGTGTTCCGGGTCGGCTCCATTCCTTATCAGGGTTTCCTCAAGATCTGCACTATCTCCGTCTGTGTCAACAGCCACAGCGATAACTGTGTCTATACATCTCTGTCCATATCTGCACAGACGGCCACAGCCTGTCCGCAGCCGCAGCCACATCTACAGCTGTGTCCTTGTCTGTGTGTCTGTGCAGTGCAGCCACGTCAGTGTCTAGATTCAGAGGGGTGCCCACATGTGTGTTCGTCTCTGGGCCTTGCCGGCACAAATCCCCACAAACTGGATGCGAAAACAACAGAAATGTATTCTTGCGTAATCCTGGGGCCGGGAGGCTCCCTCCAAGGGCCCGAGGGGAGAACTCTTCCTGCTGCTTCCAGTTTCCCGAGGCTCTTGGCTCCCAATGCTTCCTTCAGCTTTGCATGGCCGCCTCCTCTCTGTGTTCTCTTCTGTCTCCTAATGACACTTGTCATTGGATTTAGAGCCCAATTGAATTTCTAGGGTGACCTCATTTGAGATCCTTAATTATATTTCAAAGATGTTTTTTCCAAGTGAGGTCACAATTGCAGGTTCCAGGGATTGGGTTAGAATATGGATATATTTGGGGCTAGCAGGGGTCACCATTCAATCCACTGTAATATGTAAATCTGTCCACATCTGTATCCTTATCTGTCTCCTTATCTATATCCCTATATCTATACATACTTGTTTCTATCCTTATCTACAAATATTGTTATCTATATCTATGGACTAGGTTATAAGTATACAACCAGATAGCATTGGGAGTCATCTTTCTGATCAAAGAATCCTTGCTGATTTTAATGTTCTATGATTTTATATTTATCCAAGTTCAATGAATATGTATTTTATAACAAAAAAATTAGAAATCTATAGCTATATTAAGGAATATAGGAAAATCTTAATTATCCTCTCATTGCAAGCCTCCTCCTCCTCCTGCCCATTTCATGGGGGGGGAGGGGGGCTGCCCCATCCTCTCTGTCACCCAGAGTGTGGTCCCAGCCTTGTCCTGCCCCTTCCCTCTCCCCTATAGCCCTCTAGGCAGCGCCCTCCCATCTTCTTGTTTGTCCCCGTGGGGCTCAGCCTCTGGCACCCTGGCCGAGGATTCTTTCCCAGGTTGAGGGTTGATGGTGCTCTTTCCCTGTTCTAGGCAAATTCATCCCTCAGTGTCCTCAGGATAAACCCCTCGCAGAGCCCACCGGCACAGGGTTGTAGCTGCCCATACAACAGGGCCTCACCTTGCCACGAACCCTTCACCCCAATTAAAACTGAATTCAAGAATTGGGGTCTTATATACTATAGATTATTTTTAGGCTTCAGAAAACTTTCTGTGCTCTGTGTGTAAGTACGCATTTGGGTATAAATAATGAATATGGGGGAGGGGAATATGTGGGATCCATAAAATTAAAAATGCAGCCAAACTGAACATTGAAAGTAGTACATTAGCCCTGGCAAGTGTGCTCAATGGTTAGAGCATTTGGCCTTCGCACTGGAGGGTCACAGGTTCGATTCCTGGTCAAGGGCAGGCACCTGGGTTGCAAGTTCACCCCAGCACCCCGGTTGGGGCACATTCAGGAGGCAACCAATCTGTGTGTGTCTCACACATCAATGGTTCTCTCTGAAGAATCAATGGAAAAAATATCTGACTCCTCGGGTGAGGATAATAAGTTAAATAAATAAATAGCATGTGGTAGCTGTAGGAATGAGTGAGGGCAGAAACATAGAGGTAACAATAGTGGCCCAACACTACCGATCTGAAGTACGTGGGAAAATTCAAATGAGTGTTTGGAGATTCAAGTGAAAAACCATCTTCTCCGAGTTGGTCAGACCTCACACCAGGAGCCAGCGCTCACACAGCTCCTGGAAGTGCTCTCCCTCCCTCGCTGGGCCACGCCTCCCCGTGAGCCCGGCAGGCCCCGGGCAGGCGCTTACAGTCCTGCAGCACAGGCTCCAGCCACCGTCACTTCTCTGTTGAGGAATACGCTCCATAACAGCACCTTGTCAACCCTGAAGAATTTGGGTCCCTCGCTGGGCCACGCCTCCCGGTGAGCCTGGCAGGCCCCGCTCACCCCCGGGCAGGCGCTGACGGTCCTGCAGCACAGGCTCCAGCCACCGTTACTTTGCTGTTGAGGAATACACTCCATAACAGCACCTTGTCAACCCTGAAGAATTTGGGCCTGTGTTTTCCTCTGGCTCCAGTCAGCAAGTACTTTATTATATTCTCTATACAAAACTTAAGGTAAATGGCTTGGGAATCATAAAATGAAACAGTTCTGTTAGAAGTGTCGCAGTAACGAGAGGCTGCGGATATCTGGGTGAGTGGAATCCACAGAGGACCGTTTTTAAACAAATCCACCTTCACTCCATGGCATCCGCTGGTTACCAGCCGTCTATGGGAAAAGATGCTGAAGAAGGGAACATGGCCACAGAAGACTCGAAGATTTTCATTAGAACTACCTTACACCTGTGGCTGCTAGTCAGAACTCTTTTAAGTGTGTGTGTGTGTGTGTGTGTGTGTGTGTGTGTGTGTGTGTGTCCGTCCTATATACTAAAACCCTAATAATGCAAATTGACTGAACGGGCGAACTACCGGTTGCTATGATGCACGTTGAGCGTCTGCCCCGCCAAGAGGGAGGCAAGCCAAGGTGGGTGCCAGCAGGGGCCCCCGATCACCCTGCCTGCTGGTCACCCTGCAGAGGGAGGCAACCAGTGGGGGTGGGGGGGGGGCAGCCAGCAGGCGGCACCAGGCCGCCAGCCAAGGCAGATGCCAGCGGGGGGGCCCCCAATCTCCAGTCTCCCCACAGATCAGCCCTGATCGCTGGCCAGGCGTAGTGACCCTACCCTATATATTGGGAACAGTCTCTTTGATTTAAAAATTAAAACCTGGCAAGGCTACTCTAACACTGAAAAAACAGGATGATGCAGCAATGACATGCATGGACTCTGGCTGGCACATTTTGTGGTCAGACCTGATTCTGACACATAACCATGTGACAAAGCCAATTACTTAACTTCTTTGTGCTTCAGTTCTTCCACCCATAAGATGGGGAAAATGGTACTACTGCCTCAGAAGGATCATTTTATGTACTACCTTTTATAATCAGGGCAAAAAATATAGCTGCCCATAACAGCAAAATGCCCTTCACCTGTATGAAAAGTATGGTCACTGGTGCATGCAGTGTCCTGGACTGCAAGATGGATGTCCGACTGCAGGTTTAGGCCCCATCCCTGGGGACTGGTTCGAAACTGGCAGTCAGACATCCCCCGAGGGCACAGGCCAGGCTAAGGGACCCCCCTCTCATGCACGGATTTCATGCACCAGGCCTCTAGTATTCATATATTTATTTATGAGAGGAAGAGAGAAACATCAATGATGAGAATGATAAATTGGCTGTCTCCCACACACCCCCTACTGGGGGCCAAGCTGGAAACCCGGGCATGGGCCCTGACCAGGAATGAAACTGACCTCCTGGGTCATAGGTCGATGCTCAATCACTGAACCATGCCAACGGGACAGAACTCTTATTTATCTATAGACTAGAGGCCCGATGCACGAATTCGTGCACCAGTGGGACCCTCAGCCTGGCCGGCAATCGGGGCCTATCAGGGCCGTCTCAGCCAGTCCCAATGAGGGCTGATGGGGGCCAGCCGGCCGGAGAGGGACTGAGGGAGGGTTCCGGGGCATGTCCGGCCCATCTTGCCCAGTCCCGATCGGCCAGACCCCAGCAGCAAGCTAACCTACCAGTCAGAGCGTCTGCCCCTTGGTGGTCAGTGCACATCATAGCTACCGGTTGATTAGTTGACTGAACTAAAAGCTTAGCATACTAGGCTTTTATTATATAGGATTAGAGGCCCAGTGCATGAAATTCATGCACTGAGGGGGGTCCTTCAGCCTGGCCTACACCCTCTTGCAGTCTGGGACCCCTCAGGAATGTCCGCCTGCAGTTTTCTTCTGACTGCTTTTAAGATGTTCTCTGCCTTTGTTTTTGTTTGTTTGTTTTGTAGTTTCCCTCTAAAGC